ATTCCAGCTTTATATTATTTTTTTAAAACATTTTTCGATATTTTAACGTGACAATTGTAATTTATTTTATGTTTTTTTTTAAACTTCTTTTTCATTATTTTAAATTGAATAAAGTGTTCTACATATAAAAATAATTATTTTTCTTAACTACAGAGCGAATAATGGCTGAAAAAGGCAAAAAAGTTGTATCAGGAGGCACGCACACATCACACCTCGTAGCTCCTTATATTATGAACCTATAAATTTCAATCTTGGCCGGAAATTCGAGTTTAATATAACTAACAATTGTGCCAATGGAATTTTTTATAAACCAGTTATTGGGCTCACAATGACCCAAAATATGTTTTGTTGACTAACCGGGAGGAGGTGTTTTAAGCTAAATATTCGTGGGGCCTGCATGTGAAGCGTGGCGAAGTTGGTAGCGCTTAGGGCAACTTTGATTTGTTGTCCCGGAGACCCTGGTTCGAAACCCTGCAAGGGTCGACTTTTAATTTATTTTATATTATTTTTTTAATATATTTTTCGATATTTTAACGTGAATAAAGTGTTCGGTATATAAAAATAACTATTTTTTCTTCGAGAAATAGCAAATAATAGGTAATAAACGGATAAATTTCGGATAATATTTATTTATTTTATTTTATGTTATTTTTTTAACTTCTTTTTCAATATTTTAACTTGAATAAAGTGTTCTACATATAAAAATAATTATTTTTCTTAACTACAGAGCGAATAATGGCTGAAAAAGGCAAAAAAGTTGTATCAGGAGGCACGCACACATCACACCTCGTAGCTCCTTATATTATGAACCTATAAATTTCAATCTTGGCCGGAAATTCGAGTTTAATATAACTAACAATTGTGCCAATGGAATTTTTTATAAACCAGTTATTGGGCTCACAATGACCCAAAATATGTTTTGTTGACTAACCGGGAGGAGGTGTTTTAAGCTAAATATTCGTGGGGCCTGCATGTGAAGCGTGGCGAAGTTGGTAGCGCTTAGGGCAACTTTGATTTGTTGTCCCGGAGACCCTGGTTCGAAACCCTGCAAGGGTCGACTTTTAATTTATTTTATATTATTTTTTTAATATATTTTTCGATATTTTAACGTGAATAAAGTGTTCGGTATATAAAAATAACTATTTTTTCTTCGAGAAATAGCAAATAATAGGTAATAAACGGATAAATTTCGGATAATATTTATTTATTTTATTTTATGTTATTTTTTTAACTTCTTTTTCAATATTTTAACTTGAATAAAGTGTTCTACATATAAAAATAATTATTTTTCTTAACTACAGAGCGAATAATGGCTGAAAAAGGCAAAAAAGTTGTATCAGGAGGCACGCACACATCACACCTCGTAGCTCCTTATATTATGAACCTATAAATTTCAATCTTGGCCGGAAATTCGAGTTTAATATAACTAACAATTGTGCCAATGGAATTTTTTATAAACCAGTTATTGGGCTCACAATGACCCAAAATATGTTTTGTTGACTAACCGGGAGGAGGTGTTTTAAGCTAAATATTCGTGGGGCCTGCATGTGAAGCGTGGCGAAGTTGGTAGCGCTTAGGGCAACTTTGATTTGTTGTCCCGGAGACCCTGGTTCGAAACCCTGCAAGGGTCGACTTTTAATTTATTTTATATTATTTTTTTAATATATTTTTCGATATTTTAACGTGAATAAAGTGTTCGGTATATAAAAATAACTATTTTTTCTTCGAGAAATAGCAAATAATAGGTAATAAACGGATAAATTTCGGATAATATTTATTTATTTTATGTTATTTTTTTAACTTCTTTTTCAATATTTTAACTTGAATAAAGTGTTCTACATGTAAGAATAATTATTTTTCTTTGCTAACGAGCGAATAATAAATGAAAAAGGCACAAAAGTCGTCTCAGGAGGCACGCACACATCACAACCCGTAACTCCCTATAATATGAACCTATAAATTTCAATCTCGGCCGGAAATTAGAGTTTAATATAACTAACAATTGTACCGAAGGAAACTTTTATAAACCAGTTATTGGGCCCACTATGACCCAAAATATGTTTTGTTGACTAACCGGGAGGAGGTGTTTAAAGCTAAATATTCGTGGGACCAGCATGTGAAACGTGGCGAAGTTGGTAATGCTTTGGGCAACTTTGATTTGTTGTCCCGGAGACCCTGGTTCGAAACCCTGCAAGGGTCGACTTTTAATTTATTTTATATTATTTTTTTAATATATTTTTCGATATTTTAACGTGAATAAAGTGTTCGGTATATAAAAATAACTATTATTTCTTCGAGAAATAGCGAATCATAGCTAATAAGCGGATAAATTTTGGATTATGTTTATCCCCAAGCTACAGCTTATTTAGCTTGTACGTAAATCCGGCCTTGGTTTTAAATAGAGCGCCGAAAGGGGGATTGCCATAGTCCCCATTTCCTCCAGATACGTTTCTGAAAAGAACCAACTCGAAGTTTCCTCAAACTAAACTCACCATGTTTTTCCTTTTCTTTCATATTTGCAAAACTGGCACCTTCGCGATTCTTATTGGCTCGACTGATCAAGATACGGAAATATCATATGTTACAGTCCCTAAATAGCATTATTTGTTATTTAACTGGTTCTGTGTCCATCAAGCGCTTCAGAAGGACTATCGATTTAAGAATATGTTGAGGCACGTGGGGTACATCATGCCCCAAAAGAAGAAAATAGATTTCTTTAAATAAAATAATGCGAAATCACCAGCTAGCCATAATATTTAAAGATAGTTACATAATTATTAGTCAATTAGTAATAAACATCAAAATGATAGAGTACGTTACATCCACAGCGACATTCACTAAGCCACATGTATCGCAGATTGCGAGGGAAGAAGAGTTTTTCTCCCTGCATTCCAGGGTTGCCACACTCAAGTCCTCCGCCAATTGGCGGTCTCATCATAAGAGTTACTGCCCATTTCGCGGTGTCGCCACACACTCCCCCTGCAGTGTCAACGAAAGGTGACGTAACGTCGGGGGGTTTGCACTACCCAACCACAACGGGTTGTTTGTTTGTCCGTTTTAACACTGGAACTTGTCAAAACTTTAGGTGTTTCGGCCAAAAATGCTGGTTTGAGCCTATCAATCGTGATTGTCTGTCTAATGAGGCATGTGGGGTACACCGTGCCCAAAAAGAAGAAAACAGATTTTTTAAAAATGAAATAATGTGAAATCACCAGCTAGCCATAATATTTAAGTTTAATTTAATATTTAAAGATAGTTACATAATAATTAGTTAATTAGTAATAAACATCAAAATGATAGAGCACGGTACATCCACAGCGACATTCACTATCGCAGACTGCGAGGGAAGAAGAGTTTTTCTCCCTGCATTCCAGGGTTGCCATAGTCAAGTCCTCTGCCAATTGGCGATCTTATCATAAGAGTTACTGCCCATTTGGCGGTGCCACCGCAATGCATACGTTTAAGCAAGAAAAAAAAAAAAANAAAAAAAAAAAAAAAAAAAAAAAAAAAAAAAAAAAAAAAAAAAAAAAAAAACGAGAACTATAATAAATATAAGTATGGGCTTCGACACAAAGATAAAATTTTGTCACTAACGTGGAAAAGTCTAATCACAAACCTGAAAATATTGCTTGGATTATTGTTTGATTTATCCAAATTTTATTGTAACACATAACGGTTTGCTAATTGTACCAAATCAATAGCCTAAATTTTTCGATGCGAATCAAACAAGCTATTTACCTTACATATCAACATTTAAATTAAATGTCTTAAAACTCAACCTTAAACTAATATCTAAAAAAAATTCACGTTTATTTATATGCACTGCAATATACAGGGACCGCAATAAGAAATTTCCGATATTATTTATAAGATTTAGATTTAAAACAAGAAAATCGATCTTTGATGCTTTAAAATTTATAAAAAATCTTTTAAAAAATACTGTAAAATCCGATTGTCCCGATTATCCTAATTTTGACTGAAATGGATGATGTTTTCAGTAGAAATGTAAACAATAACAATCTCGAGCTGTATGCCTGCTCTAGTTCCGGTTAGGAAGTTTGCAGCTGCTTACTACATATTACTCTGCGAGGCGATATTTTCAAACGGATAATTTTGTTTTCAATAAAAGAAATAAATTAGATAATTTCTGAGCTCAAAACTGCCGTATTTCATAAGATATCATAGCCCATTGTGCAGCTCTAGTGCGACGTAAATTAACAACAGCAACAACAACAATCATTGTTGTTGTTGTTAATTTACGTCGCACTAGAGCTGCACAATGGGCTATTGGCGACGGTCTGGGAAACATCCCGGAGAATGATCCGAAGACATGCCATCACAATTTTGATCCTCTGCGGAGGGGATGGCACCCCCGCTTCGGTAGCCCGACGACCTGCGAGCGAAGTTGAGCACTTTACGGTAGCACAGTTTAACGAGTCCCAATACCGCACACCCTCGGTCCCTACGCAGACTGATCAAAGTGGTCACCCACCCGCACACTGACCGTAGCCAGTGATGCTTGACTTCGGTGATCTACTGGGAACCGTGTCTTAACGATCAGTCCACTGCGGGACACAACAATCATAAGATATTAATGTTATTATGTAATTCTGGTGAGTTTGAAGTGAAAATTTGTTTTAGATATTTAGAGATATATTGTTAAAAAAGGTGACATGGTTGCTAGATTCTGAATAACTCGCTTTTTTGGCAGTCTTGATTTGGCCTCTTTCCATTTGTTCATTACTGTTTGATCGCGTTGCAAGCTGTGCACCATCTTATGTTAGTGTTAGTATATTGTCCGTTGAGCAAGATTAATTTATACATTATAATTCAGGTTTAAATTTGAACGTTGGCATATATTATTGACACGTTGTGAACCAAATGACTTTGAAATACACCGGGAACAGTAACCCGGAAGTATAAGCGGTATACACTTTTCAGCGCTCCCTAGTGGAGAAAACACCATCCTGAAAATCAGTGTACATTTTAAAACGTGCCTTTTGACATCATCAGATGGAAACTGTAATTTTCACTGTTGCATTATTATGTTTACATCTAGCTTGCTGGTTACAGTATTGTTAGCTATTTCTTGCAAGTCTTTAATTTAAACTCTTTTTTTATCCACTCAAGCATAGTAGCTGACTGAGATAAATTTAAAAGTAGCATCTTAGAAATATTTCTGTTTTCAACCATTCTATTTAAGATGGCCAATCCTAAATATGCTGATTTACCTGGCATTGTAAGCTGTTTGTCAATTTTTTTCAAATTTCACTAAATTAATTAATTTTTGGGAAGAAAGTAATCTCTAATTTTAAAAAATACATTTATTATGATTTTAAAGTTTTGCAGAATGTGGGTTGAACGGAATGAAGAATATTTGCTTTTCAGCCTATATTTTTGCAGTGAAATATCAAAGTTTTTTATTATATTAATTACATAAAACTAAAATTCTAATATTGAACTATATACGATTAAGTAGGTTAAAAGGTAGAATTTGTTTCAATTACCAAAAGTGAGTTGTAATATATTTTAGGACATCATATAGTAATTGTATTACTGTACGAAATTATAAAAACACATTTTTGACAAAAATGTTTTATTAACTTCTTTTAAGTATTACATAACTATATTGCATGAGTTGAATGAGGTAAATATGTTTCAATAACTACTATTTTAGACCAAAAATCTCTCCAAACCTATTTGAATCCTGTTCCTATGCATTTTAAATTGCTCAAAAATAAATATTTTTTGAAGATTTATTTTCTGTAAATTTCCAGTGAAACAGTTCTGTTCTAAATAGTATATTTTGATGCGGAATAATTTCATTCATATACTGAATTTACAGATTTTATTTCTCATTATAGTTTATTTTTAAGAACATTAATTATAATCCTGTAATGTTCAAAAAGATTATTATTGTTTTGACTATTTAAAATTTTTATACTTATTTGATATCTCTTTAACACACTTCAATAAAAAGGATAATATTGTCCCATAAAAATCATTTGACAAATACTACCCTACTAATCAGGGTTGGCAAAGACAGAATGGATTAATCCATGGTTTAAACCATAGATTCTCAACCCTTTTAACGTTGCCGCCCCCTTAAGGAGCAAAAATCATTTCACAGCCCCCCCTCCTTTATGAAAATCCAGTTAAAGAAATAAGGTGTACGTTGACTTGATGCTTTTTATCCCGACAGGTAATCGCAGTCTATTTTTCATAATCAAATAAATACGGTAACGGCAATAAAAAAATACATTAAAAAATTATGCTTAAAAATAGCCCTTTATTCTTAATTAGATAATTTAAAAAACACTCAAAAGTAATTTTTTACATTAAAAAGTAGCATCAACAAAACAATCAAGTAGTATTTATTCTAACAGACCTTTACTTTTTATGAAAAATTTTTTTCTCTGTGAAACTTTTTTCTGTTTGACCTAGTCAAAAATGTTCTCATAATAAAAATAACTTTTAGTGCTTAGCACCAATGTTACCAGCAGCTAGTACTGTTAAATGAATGTTTTTATTAAAATCAAGTTGAAATTTGACTATGGGCAATGACTTTTAAGGATTTTTGAATTTGGATACAATTTTTTAGCCCAAAATTAGGAATAGCAAAATTATTTTTGAATATATGAGGAAAAATATATGGAAATTTACGAGTCATAATATGATTAATAAGTATATGTTTTTTATTTGTAGTGACAATTTTTAAAAATATTTTTTTACTTTACCATATTATTGTGTCGATTTTTAATATAATTGTTAATTTTCACAAAAGATGTCTAAATTTCACAAAATAGGTACCTAAAAAAAAAAGAAAAAAAACACGAGGCAGTCCCCTGAAATTGCCATGAATCAAAAAGTGTTAACTCATATATCCCCATAGCTATAAAGATCTACCTCATAGCTGAATGATTATTTATCCTATAATAGGGTAGGTAATTTAGGAATATTTTCCCATAGTGAAAAGAAATTTGCTAACCATGTTAAGAGATACTTTAATTTTGTCTTGTAGTAAAATGATTTTTAAGGTGTTTTTTATCTTTAAAAGACCCACAAATTATAATTTTTTAAAAAAATAGTTTCTTAACAAACACTGCACGTACCGTAACTGATGAAAAGACCTGTTATTTTATTGTATTGTTAAGTGTTAAAAAATGAGTAGGTAGTTTGAGAATATGTTCAAAATTTCCATTCGTATATGGCAGTGTTTTCACTTCAGCGCGAGAATGCGAGAATCTCGCATATATTTTTCTTTTCTCGCATTAAAAAATTATTACCACGAGAAATTCGCGCATTCTATAAATCAATTTCAAAATTCGCGAATTTCTCAGATTTTGGCAAAAGTTTCAAATTATGTCATTTAGAATGAAATCCGTTTCACTTTTTTTCCTGGATCTTTCATTATTTTCAACATCTCCCCCATTATCTAGCTTCCTTATTTACCAGTATTGTTCTGAACCTTTTCGAACAACAGAACAAAACCACGGAACCCCTTTCAGAACACATTTCTCTGCAACCACGTGTTTACCGTAGGTAAGGTTTCTTCATGTAAGACGTTCAAATTTTTTATGCACTTATGTAAGATGGACAAATACCTTGTAAAGGCAAAATCTTCTATGATGATGCACCAAAAGTATTCAATGCTTTAAAAAATAGAAGACGTTAAAAATGTATTATAATTAAAGAACTGGTTTTTTTTCATGAGTTTTTGTGTTTTTTTAGAAATCTTGCTTAACTTTTTGAAATTTCACCCTGTTTTTGAGAAAGGGTGAGAAATTCTCACACATTTTTTTTCTGTGATGAAAACACTGTATGGGGATGTTTGAACCTTTTAAACTCCTCTCTTACTTATCTCCCTGCTATTAAAGCTAGGTGACAATTTTTAACTAATTAAAAAGGTTTCTTTTTTTGAAAAGCAGTTTCTTTTTACTTGGGTTGAAAGAGACCCATTTCTTCTGGAAAACTCAATGTGGAAAAATTCCTGCTCTGCTAGTTAACTATGTAAATTGTTCTAACATTTCTCACAATGTCATTTTTTTGAACCGAATTTCATCCTCCAAAACTTCACTATTACTGCGCGTCTTGCTCTATTTAAATATCCAGCATCTCTATAAAAATATTATTTTCTTTTAATCTGTACTGCATTTCTTTACCTGCATTTTTTTAGTTCTATATTCAACAAAAATTATTTCATAAAATTGCATCGACTGTTTAAATAAATAATACATTTGAAATCATTGGTGATCTTCTGGTCCAAAAAGACCAGGTTTGCCACTTCACAGGGAATTTCACCTAAAATAACAGAGAATTTTGAGTTTTACTTTAGAAACTGGGAAAATACAGGGAATTTTGTTTCTTATTTTTAGTCTTTTAAAAAATGGTGACCACTCAAAGTGCAATCTATGGGATGATATTTCAACTATATTAAACTAGTTCATTTACTATAGCATTATTTGTTTCAAGTATGTTCCTTTTCAGCAATTATAATAGCCCAATGCAGCTCATGCACAAGCTCAGTGTTTCTTTTTGATTGATTGTTTGGTGCTTCTCCTTTGGATCCATTCAATCAATCATTCTTAGTGTATTGTGTTTAATATGTAGAGGGAAAAGAAATAATTCTAGATTGAAAGCACTCTTGAAACAGCCATTAATCAACCTCATTAGCAAAAATATGCTTTTTGTGAACTAATTTGAAATTGTTTACAAAAATATTTAATATCGAATTTCAAGTGTCTTTGGTGAACCAGTTCATAACTGTAACTATTTTAAAAATATAATTTTGAACGCTCTTTCAGATATAAAGTATTTCTTTATAATTTTTATAAACTTCACTTAGATGTAACTTAAGATCCATGATCTGTGTCTTGTTACTATCCTTTAAGGGGTGATTGTATTCCGGTTTTTTCGTATAATCCCTCCAGATCTAAAAATTAGGTGCAAGGCATGTGATTTTTTCCCAGAATCTCGAGACCATCGATTTGCGGATTTCCACGCATCAGAACTCGTAATCCGACAAAATTTTCACCCCAATTTAAAATTTAGAGTAAGAATTAAGTTAAAATGTAAATTTCGAAACCTTCTTCGAATAGCTTTAACGAGACGTGACTCTTCTGCAATTATAATATTTGGTTTGTCTGATTTTCGTGGTTTTTAATGTTCGAAACGATGCCGGAATCCGCAATTCGTATTCGCGCAATTGTAATATCTGACACAGATTTTCGTATTTACCTAATTTAAAAATCGTTCGTCGCTATTCATATTCGAGCAAGTTTAAAATCCAACATCACTATTCCTATTCTCTGGATCTAAAGAATCATGCACATCGCGATTCTTATTTATGCAATTCAAAAATCCAGTTATGCAATTTGTATTTTTGCATTCCAGTTAAAATCCAATATCGTGATTTATATTCGTGCGATTTTTGAATCCAATATCACGATTCTTGTAGGAATTAAGTTTTTTCTTTAATGAGTTACTATGAAAGTGTGATATTCTTTATTGATAAGTCGTTTAATTATAGAAAAAAGTTACATTAACTATGAATGGTATATAAATTGATATCTTATCAAGTTTTGATTCATAAAATTCTCAGGGATTTTCAGTTTGTGTCTCAATCACCCCTGCCTTTTGAAAAGTGTTGACTTAAATTTTATCACTTAAAAATACAAAATTTTATCTTTATTTTTTTTTTCTAATCTTGAAAGTTGTTATTCAAACCATGTTTGTTTTTTAACAGAATGTACAAAAATGTTTTTTCTGACTTTTTATTAGGCTCATGATCAACCAGATGTTTACGAAACAACAGATTTACCGGAAGCAGAACAAGGAACGTTCTCCATTTCGGATGTCATTGTGGTAAATGATCCTTCTTTTATTCATTAAAAGATCTCATTTTACAGCTCATTTGTTGTGCACCTTACGTTCTATCAATTATTTTTTTCTCTTCAACCAATTTAAGCAATTTTTTTTTTGGTCCTGCTTTTGTCATATGCTGAAAATGGAATAAAATATTACAACCCCGTGAAATTTAAAGTTCACTTGTATTCCATTCATTTTATAACGCAAAACATGCGTTTTATAAGTAATTGCAGATCTATAACAAATGTTACAACTGTTTTTTTTTTATGCATCTGGACTCAATGCCAAACACAGAATCAAATATTGCAACCCCATGAAGTTCACTTGTATTGCAGTCAATTTGAAACAGCAAAGTTGTAGGGCAGGGATGGCGAACCAATGGCACGCGTGCCATTTATGGCACCCGACACAGGGCACGCCACCGATCACATTTGTTATTACACAAATGGTATTACACTATGAAGCATTTGTAACAAATTAAAATTCACAAAACACACACAAAATAATTAACAATTATTAATAAAAAAAAGTAACAATTAATGCTTAAAAAAACAATTAATAACCATCAAAAACAAGCTAACAATAAATAACTAGCAAAAAAAAATTAACAGTCCTTCTTAAACTAACATCTTACTACTTAATATAAGTTATTTGTCATCTAATCTGCAACAACAGAAGTCACACTGATGTTACTTTAAGTTGAATTACGCGGATAACTGAGACAATGCAAATTTTTTTTTCAATATAAATAAAGAGTTTAGAGTTGATAATATTTAGTATTTATATTTTCCCAATAATCACGAAGTCAAAATTATTTGACGGCACGTCAATGACCTCATCAAACAATTTTTTAGAAAAAATGGCACGTTGGTGTATAAAGGTTCGCCACCCCTGTTGTAGGGTATAACAGGCAAATATAGAACCAGGCAGTGGCACTAAAAGCAAAACTCAATTATTAAAAAAAAAGAATTGTCTATTGCACTGGCAGATTGCATATTGATATAATACCAAGCTATTATTTTACAATACTAAACATGTTTTAGTATATATCTTATGATGCGTAGCGTTTTTTAAAAAGTGCTTTAAGGTACCTATTTTCGTGTTTTAAAAGTTTTTTCATTTGGTGTTTTAAAAAAGTGGTGCTTAGTTTCCCCTTTTCAATAATGACATTACTGTGCCGATTTTTTTGCTGCGTATTATGCAGAAATGACGTTTTCACATTGTTCTATTCAACATTTTCACAATTCATTCAACCACAATCTATTTCGGCTTACCTTTGTTTCGTAACGTGCGATAGCGAAAATCGTGTTACATGTTTGACGAGATACTAGCGAGTCCGCATATGCTTTTGTGAGATTATTGCACTCTCATGTGCAACTCTGCTGCATTTTGCAAGATATTCTCAATTTCAAGCTTCGTTCTCCACCTTGTGAAATCGAAACGAAAAATCTCTCTATTGTTTTTTAATGACTAATAAAATGAAGAAAAGAGTACTATGTAAAAAATCTAGTTATTTTATCATGATCATGTGAAGTCTTTCAAAGTTATTTTGCATTTTGTTAATGTATGTAGCGCTTAAAAAGTACTTAAAAGGTGCTTATTTTTTTGTTGAAAGATTTGGCTACGCACTCTGTTAATTTGTGCTAAAATAGCTCATTTAAATAATATTTCAATTATTGCATTTTCGAGCACTAAGTTTTATGCTATTATTTTTTCTGTGTATGTAAAAGTTTCAGGACAAGATGACAAAGTTTGTGGTAATCCAGGCACTAATTTTTGTCTTTTACAATCGAAAGACATTTCAGAAAGGAAGTTTTTCATATGATTAATACGAAATGGCTTGAAGTCTTCCATGTTGAAGGCCATGTATTAATCCCAGAGAAACAGCCTGTGATTTACCCACGTATCAAAAATTCTGTTATTTGTCACAACATAATTTGTTGACTGGTAAGGAAATCCACAAAATTTACCAAACCATTTTTATGTAATATTATTGAAAAATTTTAAATTTGTCACTCAATTTGTTAAAAGAAAATTGAATTTATTTATTATTTTATAATTTTCAGAAATGAAAAAATTACTTGTATAAATTCAATTTAAAGAGTGTGATTTTTTGAAAATTTATTATGCTATGCTGTGATTACAAAACTCTGAGTTTTTTATTTTTTATTTTCTGACTATTTTGAAGTAGTGATTTCAACTGTAAAAGTATTTGTTGAGGAAAAATAAATATTTTTGTGTATTTTCTGAATGATTAGGATCAGTGTGACAGTGTACAAATACTGAACATCTCTCCAAGTGATGCTCATTCAAAATTTAAAGGAAAGACACTTGATGCGGGAAATGTTGGTAAGTTTTCATTTTAATAAGTGAGTTTTTTTGTTTTAAATTTATGAGGAAGATTTTATTGAATTTTTTTTTTTTAAAGTTTTTAACGCAAAATATTTTACTACTATAATCGTCGTCGGACAGCCGTCCCAATTTTGGGATTTTTTACTAATGACGTTTAACTTGGTGTCCATGTCATTTTGAACCCAATCCAGAAGACAGGGGAACTCCTGGATCGAGTATCAGGAGAAATGTGCCTTCGTGGAGGGCTTTTTGGTGGAACTAACTCACATTTTCTTTACATGGTGAGGAAAACCACGAGCTCCTCTCACGGTTAGCCTGATGGCAAAGGGATTCTAACTCGTGATCTGCCTACCACTGAGGCTATTTTACGTCAGCAGTGTGGTCGGTGCAAGCCGGGTGGGGAATTCGCATCAACCAGTCATCGCTGGGATTCGAACACCGTTTGCCAACATTGGAAGATGAACGCTCTATCCCCTGAGGTTCAACATAAGATATTAAAATTTCTTTTAAAAATACATGTTCTTCAACAATACTTTATGAATGTTAAAAGAGAGTTTATCAGAAGTCTCTAAGTGCAATTTTTCACATGTTTTCTATCATAATACTTGAATCTTCCACAAATTGTACAAAAGTATCTTATCCATTCTAACTGATGTGTTGTTTTGGAATTTTGAGGAATCATAATAATAATAATAAAAAAAGAAACATCCTCTAATGAAATTTTATGAGGTAGAAGAGGAAGATTACAAGAGTTGATCTCTTTGTACAGTTTATTTAAAATGATTTGGAATTTAACAGTCACAGTAAACTTGGAGTCATATGCAGGTGAGCGACCCCTTGGCCTAGGGAAGGAACTATTTTAAAAAGAGGACTTCGATGTGATAAATGAAGGTTTAATAAATAATCTTAATTAAGTTTTTATATAAGTTTTAAATAGTTTTGGTTTGTGTATAATCAAATGGAAATACATTGCATTTTCTCATTAAAATTGAAAATTGTGTAATAGTAAACTGATGGGAGCAAAATGTTCTAAAAATTCTTAATATAAAATAATACATCACCAAATCCATTTTCTAATTACCTTTGAAATTAGTTAAATAATGTAATTATTGAACAAGTTAAAGATTTTTTATTTCTAAATCTTGTTTAAGCCATTGTGCTTGTTCCAATCAAAAGCATAAATGGAAATGAAGCACTTGTCTAAATTTTGTACTTTACTTTTCGATTTATGTTTAGAATGTTTTCCTTTTGTCAATTGTAGAAAAATCTGTATTGTACATATTATTTTTTCATTGTTGTATTATTTCCGAAATGCAATTTTCGTATTAAAAAACAATTCTAACGGGAAATATATTCGGAATTGATTTACAATATTTTCATTTTATTTAATACTGCATTATGTTAATAAGCAAGTTTCAGACCTCAATGTGGGTTTAAAAAAAGATTTAAAAAAAAATTATACTGCATAAATATAGCACACCATATTTTCATAGGGCAAAGAGCAAATTATAAGAAGTATAATTTGGTCTTCTTTAGTGCATATTTTATTGCAAAATAATAATAAAATATACCATTTTTAATTCTAGGGTTACCTTATACTGAAAAAAAAAAGTTTCAACAGTTTATCCAATAGAATTCTATTAATGGTGTAATTAGCAACTTACTGTTGTTTTAAATAAATAATCTGTATCAATTAGTTAATATTCCTTCATACCAATATTTATTTAAAATATCCAATCTGGGTTGGAATAAAGTGGCTATCAAAAGAACATGCCTCTTTTGGTCAGTTGATTCTCAACGCCTTAGTTCCTGGAAATGCTCATAAAAACGTTTTTTAACATCTGTTTATTTTTTAAATAAATGTTTGACAAGTTGTATGAATTTCCTATATGGAATTTTTAAAAATGGGCTAAATTTTTAAACTCAATATATCAATCTGTTTAAATGAAAGGTTCTTCATTATCACCTGATCTAATAGTCTTTAATGATTTTTTACTGACAGTTTGTTTCAACATCTTTGACGAAATTTCCCAAAGAGTTTGATTTTGTTTGAAGTATGAAATGGTGATTTCATCTTAATTGCACTTTTCCCTCAATGACAATGAAGTGAAAAAGGATAGTAAATAAACCCCTAGAAATAATTAAATAAATAATCGCAAGGAAGATATTGCTTGATTAAAACCTTCAAAAATATGTTAATTGGAGTCTACATGTTTCAAGCTCTCAAAGACCCGTTTTCAAGGCTCACATTAAAGGGCATGTGTGTAGTATATATTTAAGGGATTTTAAAAAAAAAAAAAGAAGGGAAATCAATAGATTAAAATTCAATGATTTTTTTTTAAACTCTGGAAAGACTGAAACTTAGTATATACCAGGGTTCGTTGATTTAAATCAGCTTGATTTAAATCACGATTTAAATCATGATTTAAATCAATGATTTTTTTAAAAAAAATCATTGATTTAAATCAACTAATTTCTTTTATCGATATATATATTGATTTTAAAA